ATATGATTATCTTTACCTAACAAGTTAATGGCTTAAAATGTTTTGTTATATATATCAAGATAATCACTTATTTAGCCATTATATATAGTCCCCTTTTGAAACAAACAGACTCTGCATGGCTGTCCACAGGCAACCCAAGCTCATTACATAATATTTATATGTGACTTCAACGGACTTCAACGGTCAAAATTTGATTTCTTTAGTTTGTGTTTTTAAGAATAAAAATGACTCACTTTGATAACTTGTTGTGTCTTTTATCGGAGCGGAGTTTGAAGCCGTTAAGAAGCGATTTTACCTGGTTTTCGAATTTGCTGGGATTGGGTTGCCTGTGTAAACGTAGAAAATGGCGGAATATAAGGACGCATAACGTTTACAATATATTTGCGGGTTTTTCCTCATAAARTATGGCTGTTTTTGCTAAGTAGTTTAAATCATTGATAATGTACAAGAGTATGCTAATGTCTCGTTTATTTCGCGGCCAGTTAAAGAGGGAACTTTTATTTTACAAGCACTTTTCTACAAGCAAGTTTACCCACGACCTAAAATGGCGGCGTGTACCTTTCAATGGAATTAGTGCAGATCTTGGGGTGCTACCCCAAGGCACTTCTCCAAAAGAGTTCTTTAGCATACTTCAAGGTAAATTATGAAATAATCTTGCAAATTTTTCGTCACATGAAGAACATTCAGACTTCCTATGGTTGGAAAATGATAAAGCTTATGTAACTTGGAATGGTTTTATACCTACTAGATAGCATAGAAACGTGGAAAAAGGATAAAAAGAAAGCAATGTGGCTCCATGTTCCAGTAGACAAAAGTTATCTGATACCAACTGCATTTAAAAATGGRTTTGAGTTTCACCACGCAGAAAAGAACTTTTCAAAGCTGTACAAATGGTTACCAGACAAATTGGAATGTAAAGTCCCTGTTTATGCCACTCACCACGTTGGAGTTTCAGGTAGTAACTTAAACCCCAGCTAAATGATTGAAAAATTGGATCACTCAACGTGTACCATTATTGGACAAACTGTTATACCACATGATCCAACAATGATTTTATGTTCTCTTTGATGTGTGGTTTTTGAAGTCATTTTTCCAAGACTTTCCTTGATATCTAAATATTTGAATTGCTCCATAATGTTGATGGATCCTGCATGATGAAACATTTCTAGTTTGGTGTGGGCTTTAAATGGATTATTCCATTTAGTATTACCATACATACTATTGCAAATCCCTCATTCTGATTGGCTACGCTACTCGGAATCTATTTTCAATAGTCCTCGACTAGCGAAAAGCGACAACTTTTTGCGTATTTTTAGTGATAAAAACATTTAGTTATTTCATATATTTCATTTTTTTTTTGTCCAACTAATATGGTAATACTAAAACAATTAGATCTCTCGTATTCCACTAGCCCTCGAGATCTAATTGTTAAGTATGACTTTTAACATTGTGGACATTTATTTTGCAGGTCTTGTTCTCAATGAAAAAACTTGTGAAGCATTGGTAGTCCAAGACAGAAAGAAAGTATGTTTGTTTGTTCTTTTTTTTACAGTGTGGATCATGACCCCCTAGAAATATTTTAGGAATGTTTATTCATTGACCAATCAANCACAACTCAATTGCTATTCTTTCAAATGATCCTGGAGCCAAGTATGAGTTCAGTTGGTCTTGGGATGGGTTATTTTGCCTCTTCTATTAGTGCTTGTGGAGGTGCACCGCTTGTTGGCAAGTATCACAATATTGTTTATTTTTCACTAGGGTGGGGTTGGGAAGGAAAAAGTGTTAGCTTGGAGGGGGGAAAGGGGTTATGTCATGTTTGTATTATTATTTAGGGTGGCAAGGGTGGTCTAGTGGTTAAGCWACTGGCCTCTCACCGCTGTGGTCCGGGTTCGATTCCTGGGCACGGACCATATGTGAGTTTGAGTTTGTTTGATAATTGTTCTCTCCCTTGCCACGAGGGTTTTTCTCCGGGTCCTCCGGTTTTCCTCCCTCAGTAAAAATCAACATGTGAGGAGTGTTGTGTGCTAAAATAATTAATGTAGAGGTAGTGAGTGTGAGTGTGAGGGCCACAAGTTCATCAGTTCTTTACTGTCACGTGTTACCCTCGTAAAATAAAGTAGATTTATTTTATTTTATTTTATTTATTAACTGCACCATCATAATTACCACTGCCCCCACTATGTCCTAATAAATGAATGCCCCATWATGACAATATTATGCTTCTAGGATATATCGCTGACAAAACTGGCTCCTATATYCTATCTTTCTATATTGTTGGTGGAATTCTTTTGTTTGCTGCATTTTTCCCTTTTGTTCTGAAGCTGAACATGTTTTGGAGATTTCCACGGGAGCACAATACAAGACTGTAAAGAAGGACACTTGTTGTCTGTCTTGGCAAATTGACACTGATAACTTAAGGTAATTCGTATTTTTTTTACCACACTTACGTAAAATCTTGCACGCTGATTGGCTGATTATAGAGTGTATCAATAAGAGCATATGCACACTTCGCTGACAACGTCACATCTCGTGCGTCAAAAGTGTGTCAATAAGAGAACATACAACTCAAAACCGTGCACAATTTGTTAAGAAGGATGCAAACATTTACAAATAGCACGTTCACTCAATTCTCTCAGTAAATGAATGCGGATATTTGCATGCGTGTGCAATTCTCTAGATGGGGAATGAAAATGTTTGTAAGGTTTGTAAGGTTTGTAAGAATTGTTTTAGATAATAAAAAAAATACTGAAGGTGCACTTTAACGGCCAATTTTGGTCTTTCGGTATAATATTATAATATCATTATCATATGATTATCTTTACCTAACAAGTTAATGGCTTAAAATGTTTTGT